ATAAAGTTGGACTGAATACTCTATATGGGCAGGGGGAGACTTTACTACTGTCTGACACTATGATGCTGATTATAGATAAGACATATACAACACATTGTTGCCACTTCCTCTGTATATAGTCATTCAGGTTCTAGCCGGCTAGTCAACAACGCAGTAGAGTGTGAAGCAATAAAACCAGCTTGTTTTAAAATGCCTATGTGCTAAACTCAGCATGGTGATTTTAAAAGGAATGTCAGGCTTTTCCATAGCCGCTGAGAGCATATGTGCAGTGTGTGGACGTGCCGAAACAGATTGCCAGTGATGATAGAGACACTGAACACCAGCTCACAGCTCCGGCAAACTACACACAGACTCAGGTTACACTCGGACCTCACTCAAAGAAACCAAAGCATGGTATTTGTCACTCCCTAATGACTCTGAGAGGCTTTTTATGAAATGAAATTGTGCCATTGTACATTGGAAGTGTACAAACAAATGGTAGTGTTCTTTGTCGCCTCTAGTTTTACATGTGTTCTTTGAGCAGACATGTAATCTGAGTCACTTATCTGGCTTTCTCACAATATATCTACTCAAACTGCTGAAGAGACACTCAAAGGAGACCCTTGGAGAAGGAGTCCAGACTTAATCAGAGGCAGCCACACTGGTTCAGACACTAGTCCCTCTGAAAGACTGAAAGAGCTACTTTTCACTACATTATCAGACTTGGCCATCTATCAGAAACTTTTCCCTGCTTCCCTCTTCTCTGTCATGACATTTTGCTACTCATGTAGTTGGGAGGAAAAAGGATCTTTTAGTAGCTCGGCCAAAAGTACCATCATATTCCCAGAGGCCCGTGCGGTGCTGTTTGCCCTCCCACACCTTCCGACGGCCCAACCCCACCACTCGCCATAGTACACTCTTAGCTTTGCACGTGTCCTCAGCGGCATAGACCCCTCCTATTTTTAGTAGTAGCTTCTTTATCTTCATCTGTCATCATGTCAATGCTGTTATACATTTTGTGGCCTCTCCTTGAAATCTGTGCTCACTATCTTGGCACACATGCACACACACATGTTGGGTTTTGATGCTTCTTGAGTATTTAAAAACATATCTAAAATCTAATACTGAAAGATTTACATCATGGGGACCTGATTTTGTCCCGATAAGAAAGGCAGGTCACTATGATGTGAACGTGCATTCACATTTTAGTCTCCAAAATGTGATAAATACCAGCTCGCCAGAATATAGTCTGACACAAGCATGCACACACTAGATACAAGTTTCAGCAGTTTTCAGTACTTAAGGCAAATTGGCTCAAAGTTCCTCAAAAGGGATAACAAGAGGAAATCCAAGGTGAAAGTGGAGATGAAAAGAGAAACGATGAGCTAAGAATGTTTGGATAGATATCAAAAGAGAAATCAATATTCTGTGTTGCTATTTGATTGCCACCACTTAATATATCACAATAATGAAATCATTCAAACATTCTGAACAAACAACAATTTTAAACTTCAGTTATGGCTGCAAAGTAGAACCAAAACTACAATTTGAGTACTATAAGTAAATCACAAAGGCCACAATTTCTGGAAAATTATGGAATATTATGTCCTCTGCAAATGACAAAATATGTGGCCATATCCCAGTCTCTTAACTAGTAATTAAAATAAAATACTCTTAATTTGATTACTATACTTAATAATCACAATTAGACATGTTTAAATAGTTGTTCAAATAGCTGTTCTCACTCAGTATTACTATTCAAAAAATAGCTACAGGAAAATCACTGTCAAAAAATAGATAAAAATGCCAGAGCTGTCATCTTCAGGCTAATTATCAGCTATGAGAAGATTGAAGCATGGATATCACAACTTTGCATTAAAGCCAAAAAGGCTCCTGTTAAATATGCCTGGCTGCACTACTTTGATTACACATCAACACAAACAAATGAACAAGGCCAAGGATTGCAAATGTGTTATAGATTACCGCAATATGTACATTGTGAACTAATAAAACATAAAATATCATATAGGGAAATATAAAAATAAAGTATTTGTCTATTTGACATTCCTTTAATTTCTGCTTTTTGAATGCAGAAAATGGCGGTGTTCTGCATCTGCCTCCCAGGGCCAAGAGGACCTCCTCAAATGTGTGTGTGTTCTTGAGAATGCTGAGACTGTTTTTAATTATGTCACTTCATCTGAGTTTCTGATGGAACATTCTGGTCCTTTTCATGCACTACTTGAAATGCTGTGCAACAATGAAATGTGCTCAATGCAAAAATGCAATATCTAAGCTAAGGTGCTCTGTTGATAACATTCAGAATGATGCCATAATAATGACGTGGAATAGCTGGCCAGTAAAGACCAAGGAGATTTTGATCCAGGCCATGTGGTCTGGAAGGAAATGACCTACTAGCTTTTGAAAACAGCCCTGTGGCTGGCTGCGGGGCCAGGGCTCCGGCCCTCATTGGTGAAAGCTTACAGAGGTGTTTCAGGGCTCAGTGGTGATGTTATCACATAGTAAGTGGCCTTAATGGGCTTCCAACTGTTTGTTTGAAGGACTCCTATAATGAGTGGGATCAACTGATAACTGGCTCACTATACACTGCAGAGCCGTCAGACCCTGTAATAGATGAACATACTCCATTAAAAAACACAGATTAGACGTTGCAGTGTAATGCATACTGAAATGCTTAGTGAGATGTGTTCATGCTTGATTCACATGTAAGGAAGTCACTTCAGGGCTTTTGCAGGCTCTCTTCATCCACTATAAAACTATCTATGTGGGTGTGCACACGGTCCACTTTTGTCAGCCTTCCTCAACTGACTCTTCCCACTCCTGTGCAAAACAGGTATTTCCAAAGACAGTTTGGTGCCAGAACAGAGTGCCACCGTGGGAGGTGCTTCAACCTGTCGGCACACCACACACCCAACAAAGGCAGATACCACACACATAAAATAAATGCTGTGCTCTTTATGTGGAAGGTTTTTCTATCGGGCAGACCGACAGACAGCATTACCAACAATAAGCAGGCTTCCAGCTTTTAGGGAGAACAAGTACATGAAGTAGAAATAGCCAGACTTATGGGGACGTCTAAAACAATGCCTTTTGTCTTTTTTGCAATCCTTTTTAAGAAAGGGGGAGAAAGCTGTGGTCAGTAAAATGTCTCATAACATTCCATGTCTTAGGAAGCCCTATAAATATTTTACCAGCATATAGCAGGTGATGTTTTTAAACTCTGGAGTCTTTTACAAAATACAGGCATGGTTTTAAGCTAAGTTAGCACTGCTGATAAATGTAATAGAAACAAATAACTGAATTAGTTCTATATGTTACCATTCAAATACATATTGTTTATTTATTGCAAGTCTGCTGAGACACCTTTTCAGAATGTCAATTTCGCTCCATTAAGTCAAGTCAAGACTAATTGTTACAGTGATCCCAACTTAAACTTTGACCCGAGCCTGGTTTAATCTCCTACACTGCAGTGCTTTGAGTGTGCGCTCTTAACCCTGTGAGCGATACCTCTACCAGAGTGGATGTGTTGCTACAAGTCAGCATTAAGGAGGTAGAGCTGCATGTGGTTGCCTGCATCTCAGTTTGATAGTTGTTTTCTTTCTTTTAACTTGTGCCAGCCATCAAAACAACACGAATTGGGCTGTCAGGGCTGGGAGACTTAATTCCACACTGATCACTTGTTTCTTGTTTTTTCAACAAGAGAAGTTACAGAGAAGACAGTGGAAAGAATATGTCTATAGTTTCTTGTGTGTGTTTTCCTGACTGGGTGTGTTCTTGGATTCCACCACAGTAGGACATCACCCCCAGGTGCTCTGTCTGCCGTGCTCTGGTTCTGTGGAAATACCTTGAGGATTAGGTGGGCAGCGGTGGTGAGGAGAGGGGGAGGTGAGGTAGTGATTGACGGCTGAAAAGCTGAAGAGGTGCTCAGGCATGCTGCAATGGTAGAGGAACAAGAAGACACACACACACAAACACACACATATATATGTAGAAAGGGGGGCTCTACACTCAGCTGTTGCCACCCACACCCATTAGTACCCCCCACCCACTACCATTGTAGCGCTGCACCCAGATAGGATTTCAAATAACTCCTGCTTACCTTTACCTCAAACAAGAAGTGCCCATTTTTTTCCCCCTAACCCCATTTCATTTGCAAATCAGACACATTCCTGACCTAAAATACTGATACAAATTAGAACACAGCAGGTATATGTAATATATGTTTCCAGTCTTTGGTTCGTCTAGATTTTGACCGAAAAACACTCAAGATTGTTAACAATCTCCTCTTTGTACTCCATCCTTCATAGATCATACCCCTAAAATGTGCACAAGAGTACAACAGTGCCCCCTGTGGCAAAAGTTGAATCTACATTGCTACCACTTCTGGAAAGCACATCTGGTAAGTGGTCTTCTATCTTGACAGTAGTTTACCTCACATGACCAAAGCTGTAGGACACTCTGAAAACTTTTAAAATGACCCCTTTTTAAATTAAATAGAATATTTGTAACACTTCCGCACACTATTTGTTTATACTCAAAGCACTCGTCACCTAACGCTGAAAGAATGCTGTTTTGTCTCTAATTGCAGACTTGTGGGTTTGCCTACTATACAAAGACGTGAGAGGTTTCATTGCAGGGAGATACATTCACACACCAGTGAGGCAAAGCCAGGACCTGTGGTCATAATAACCACACCATCTAGAAAGGTCCATAAGGAAACCACAGCAGCACAGTAATCACTGTATTGATGAAAGTGGATTTTTTTCCATGCTGTTTCTTTTGCGGATTTGCTCTACCATTTATCTTATATCACAAACAGATCCTACGGTTTTCTGTTTCCACAAAATTACACATAATGAAGTGCAATTTTAGCTTTAGTTTCTCTATATGGTGAGCGTCTAATTGGTCTGATGATGTAGGTATGAGCCTATGTGCAGTTAGAGCTGAAATGGAAAACGGCTTATGAGCGGAAAGGAAAACTTGGGATAATGAAAATTACTCACAGAGAGCTGCCATCTCTTTGGGCAGGTCAGCACCAAAGCGCCCAAATAGGCTGCTGTTGGCGAGCAGGTCAAAGTGAGAGCTTCTCATGGAGTTGAAGGCAAAGGGGTAAACAGCAGGTGGGAAGCTGGTCATGTGACCCACCTGCTGCTCCCGGTTGGTGGCCATGACAAGCAGACACCCAGATGTCCAGAGCAGGCCGCTGGGTAAGGCCAAACAGCGTAATCAAAGTGTCCGGCAAATGAATATGATCTTGTACTTTCTTCTTGTATGGAAACTGGATACAGGACGATGAAGGAGTCTGCAGCTCAGAGGACTAGGTGCACCCACGGCAAACGTTTCTGAGGGAAGAAAGGAAATGGTGTAATAAGTTTACAAATAAAACAAAATAATTTTATTCTATTGTGGCATAAAGACATTATGGACAGTTAATTATTCAAATACATTTCTCTTTAGTAAGTGAATGATGCAAGGTTAGCTAGAGTATTAGGTGATATGTGCAAACAGCAGTTACAGAAAAGGTAACAGAAGATGTGAGCGTAAAAAATTGTGAGAGGAAAACTACAACTGGGCAAATAAAAAGAAAGTAAGAAAGACATTTGGAAAAACTTATAAAGGGGAAGAGCTGTTTGGAGTGAGGGAGGGCAGAAGGGAGAGTGAAAGAGAGAGAGCTCTTGTTCTTGCAGTTTTGAAGAGTTTCCAGACTTCTACAGTGATTCCAGGCTATGCCATATGATTTAAATCACCAGAACTCTACTATAAAGAGCTTCTCTGTTCCTGCTGCCAGCCTAGCACAGCAGCCTGCCCCTCTCTTTTCCCCAGGACCAGAGGCCCAGACATGGGGTTCGGAGCAGGGGAGTGTGGAGGGTAGGGGGTAGGGAAAATGAGATCCACTGATTGCTAACTGCTGCTGTCACTTCCAACTATCTTCTCTCAGGGTCGGACTCCATCCCACAGAGTCATTTTGGCTGGAGCCTCCTGCCGGCAGGCCATGAGTTTGACTCTCAGTGGGCACAGACAGGGAAGGACAAGGCTGTACTTATGTCCTGAATGCCCCACAGTTGACTGTTAATACAGGAAAGGGAAAAACCTGGCATTTTAATTTTTCTGCTTTTAATGTGATTTTTGGGGGGTATGAACTTGGTTTTAAATGTGGCTTTGAAGAAGAACATCCAAATAAATTTGTTTCTTAATCAGAAAATTTTGGTAATGCATTTGGAAAAAAGCTGAACTGTAAAGCTGCTGTACAAAGCAATAAAAACAACAACTATGGAACATCTGACAAGGTCTGGGCACAGGGGGGCACTAAAAGGTGGCAATATGCCCAGGAACCAGCAAGAGCTTCAAGATGCAAATGCATAAGCACATGCCTGCAATCAATGTTTAAAAAAAACAAGCCATAGCAGGCGCTAACACACACACACACCTCTCACCCTTTGCCTGAGCAGAGCACTGGCTCCCTCCCTCTTTCTGGCTCTTTCTCTTTCAACAGAGCCAGTTAATTACACCCTACTGCTGCAGGCAGCTTCAAACCACCACTAATTTAGAGTTCCATTACAGTAAACTGTTCCACATGTGCATCCAGAGCCCAGGCAGGCTCGGGTGGCCACGTTTCAGGAAGGAGCTGCCGCCGATAGGCACCCACCCCCATCCTGCCAACATGGCTCTACTGCCATCGTACTTCTAATGCGTTTGTCCGATCACTTTATTTTATTATTGTGTGTTTTTCCATCTCTGACGCACCCCGCACCAATTAGCTATAATCATGTCCATGCTCAATTCTTTCCTCCAGCCCCCACCATCCCCATCCTTCCACTGCTTATACAACTCGTACCATGACCCAGTGCAGTGATACCATTGTGCGTCTACCACACTAAAACATCAGTAAAATTTCACAGTGGGTCTAATGGGAGAGAAGGTACAGACTGGAAAAACAAAGCTTCAAGCCGACTCGTAATGTACGTCTATGTATGTTAAAAACATACCCATTTGGCTATCTGCCTCATGAACTTATGGCAGCTCCCATATATATATATATATATATATATATATATATATATATATATATATATATATATATATATATATATATATATATATATATATATACACATATATATATATATATGTGTGTGTGGTTTTTATTCTCAAATTGGTTCTATTTGTAGACTTTTTAATTAGACTGAAAAAAATGCTGCAACATACTTTTAAGACTGAATGCTGTATAAAAAAACATAAAAGAGAACCAGCTATACAACCCAATAACCTCACTCTCCCAAACACAATAATGAATTAATAAAAGAGTTGGCGCCAGTGATTTTTAATGAGTCACATCAGCCCGGCAGCTTTTTACACAGCCATTTGTGTTTTATGTCAGGTCCTGTGGTAGGCTGCTTGGCCAGCCTGTCTGGGGCTATAAGGGGATAAGGGGAATTTGGAGTGACCTCATCCCCCTGTTAGCCTGGGCCAAATGGGCATGAAGGCCTCCGCACTTCCCCTGAGCCTGGGGGGCACACAGGAGGCAGAAGCATGCATCCACGCTGAGGCACGCAGCACCACAGCCAGCTATGGGTGGCTCAGGTCTGTGTGGGACTTTCCATCATTGCCTAAGAGGTGTAGTACTGTAAATGTCCTCTTTGTAAATAGTAGTGTTTAACTCATTAGACACACTCAGGATAATGTTGATTTTATCAAAAGATAATCCCATTAGGAGGTTGAAATGAAATCAATCAAGCTTGTGATTTGAACGTAAGAAAAATAATGAGATATGCTCCAGGAGAATTACACTGTACCATTAATTGAGGAGTTTGCATTAGAGCAGCCAACACTAGTCAGAGATGCCTGTTTCCTCAGATTTGGTGTCTGTCAAACAACGGATATTAAACCCTGTGTGAACAAATGTATTTCTTGTTGGCTTTGTCAGAGTACTGTCCCTGGGGTCCTACACACATATAGTCTGAACTGAGCGTGATTGACAGGTAGATAGACCAATCAGAGAAACACATGGTTTTGTTAAGGTCAAAACAAACATGGCAGCTTAATTAAAGAAGGACAAGGCAAGAGAAGTTACAGAAATCAACCTGAAAGATACAAGAATATCTTAGGATATTAAAGAGCAAATGTCTTCCTCAACTGAGATACAAGTTACATGCATCTGTAACTGGATCTGCAAAAACTTGTCAGAAAAATAATTTGCTATAAGTCTAGTTCCTTTCAAACATAAAGTAAGAAGGACTGGCTCATCAGTGTCAGAATAACAAAAGGTGGCAATTATTTGTGTCATGGAAGGGCCCCACAAACAACAAGATATCATGTCTTTTTTATGGAGAGACAATGTGCTAGCGCTAAAGATAAGATCTCTGAAAACATGTTCTGAAATACATGGGATTCTTGTGCTAGTTTAGCAGTCCATATTTCAATATTCTCTTAAATATTATTGCCACTGAATGTGCAAATCTCCAAAATAATTTAAACAATTCTATTATATTTTTTGTTGCAGCTCTAATAAATTTTTACATTCACAGTCTATAAATCAGTGAATTGTGCAATGTATTGAGCTGGAGAAGTTAGGTAATATATGTGTATGTTTTAAGTGTCTACAGAGAGAAGGGATGGGAGATATTGACAAAAAATATCCCAGTAACAATAATTCAACCATATAGTGAATGGAATTACCTACAAAAAATCTGACATATCAACTTATACCATTATTTTAAATTTATAACATTTTTTTTTCCTTTCTCTTTTTGCAACATTTGGAGTATTTTTTTTATAATATACAATATATCCAATATTCAAATTTTCCAAACAACATTTACAACCATACACGCATCTTGGCTACCTCTAACAGAGAGTCGTTATTTGTAATCATGGTTGCAATGCTGACATAAACTGGCCATTTCTTTATTCTGTCAGGCAAATTTTAACTGAAACATAATAACATACTAACTGACAATCTCTTTGTTAAGAGGCAGCAATATTATGAAAACAATACTCTAAACACATTACTATCTGACGTAAAGCTGACAGAAACCAATCTTTCAACCAGTGTCTCGTTAATGGCTCTGTAAGAGACACCTAGTGACAGACAGCCCTGTGTTTCTAAACACCCTGCATTCCTTCACTGGAGAACTTGTTTGACATCTGCCTGCTCCTGGCATCACACAAACACACATTTGCTTACAGCCACAATGCAAAGTACCAAGGCTTTGGAATCTCATTGTGACTAATTGTGGGTTTTCAGTATATGGACTAGGGTTGTCACGATACTAACCTTTCAAACTCATTCTCAATACTGAGGAACGGGCTTGACACATTTTCAAAAGTGTTTATGTAGATTATACTTAAACTAAGTAGTGTCTAGTTTTGGTATTGATTAGTATCTGCTTTTCAATACTTTTTACCCTAATACCTTAGAATGAACAAAGTGTTATATTTGTATAATTGTTGTAACTGGGTTCCACATACAAAAGGGTATAGATGGGAATATTATGGAAAGTCAGAGAGAGGCATAAAACACTCAGTGGCTGAGTGAAGTCATTCTGACAGTTGGCTGTTTCCATGATGTGGTGGGGCCCTTTGGTGAGTTTAACAGGAGGCTCCTGCCAACAGGAAAACACAGCACAACAGGAAAAGCCAAGACGAGAACTGGAATTTTAGAAAAAAATAAAAGTAAAAATTGAAATGCTCCAGATATGAAGGTAAATTGACAATGATGATTTCAAAAGCATGTCTAATCTTCAGCTCAAACACAAAACGATAATAATAGATAGACTTCACCACTACAACTGCAAACCTTGGAACTCACAGCAACAAAGAGAAACAAGTTAGGATAACTTCTACAAGCATTATAAATCCAGCTTTGTGCCTGAACATCTTAAAATGTGAGCTTCAAGGCAGGCACAAAAATGCAAATCCTCACTATTAAAGCAGCACACCTGCAAAAATACACATAGGAAATGGTGAGCAGATAGTTTCCTGCTTAATTATAGAGTGGTGGAAGAGCGCCCCTCGATCCTCTGAAAACACCTGTCTAACCCCTCCCTTCACTGCCTCTTAATTGCAATAGAAATTCCAAAAGAGACAGGTAACAACAACTCCCAGATTTACTGTGTGCAGTGACGAGTAACAAAGACAGACTGTTAGCAGATTTTGCAATACAAAGGCGTGTTGTCTCTAATTCCCTTAAATCCCTGTTTTTTCCTACAGCATGTGTGTCATAGAAAAAGCATACATTTTAATTCTATGTTATTTATTCCTCCCAAATTCAAATGTTACAATTAATTTAACTTATCCACATAACTGAAAATATGACATTGTATAAATAATAATAATAATAATA